TCAAATTGTATCCTTAGATATTATAGAAATAGTGTCATCAAAGAATAGAAAGTCGAGAAAGGGAAGAGTGTTTCAGAAATTATGGTTTTGACCATTTGGCAATTTAGTGCACATCACCTATCAAGGTCTAACTTCTAACTTAATGTTATTCTCATTTAACTGAGTGCAGTTCTTTTGTAGGTGTATGAGGCTGATGATGACCAATTTCTCCACCTAAAAGTTATATTTTTTTTTAAGATTAAGTGTGAAGAGCAAAAATTTATTTATTTATTCTTTTAATTGGGTAAAAGCAGAAATGACCTAAAGAGGGTATAAATAGCCCTAGGAATCCCAACATTTAAATTAGGTAGTTGATTTCATTTATTCTGTTCCACAGTCATGTCCTGTAATTCTCCAACTGATACAGGCACTTGCATATGAAGGGAGAACTTCTGTCTGCCCACTTTGAAACCCACAGACCTTGCAGTGCTTGCTATTTTCTTTGCTCTTTAAATACTGACTAGGCATGTGCACACTGACTCTGAAAGCAGGATTTTGACTCACAGAGAGTATAAATTTAATCTGGCCTCGGTGGAGATAATGAATGTTCAGTGAAAGTTACGCCCACCATCTGGGGCTGAATCAAGCTGTAACACCACAGGCATTGGGACAGTTATGTAAGGAGTTTAAGTTTGTGTACATGGTGATGGATGTGTAGGCGGCGTTATCCATGGTCTTCAGAGGCCCAGTTGTACTTCCATTGAATTTAGATGAGGCTTTTTCCCTGCTGTGGTAAGAGGGAAGATTTAGACCCTGTTTAGCAACATACTTAAGTTCCCCACTTTAACTTTTGGGTGAAAACTGTTTTGTTTCTTTGGTTTTTGTTTGTTCGGGCTTTTTTTGGGGTTTGGTTGGTTGGGTTTCTTTTTCAGTAAGTGTGTGTAATACAGTGTGTGCTCAGTTCAGTTTCTTGATTCTACAATGAAACCTCTCATTATCATTATGACCTTATTTAAATATAAAAAAAAAAATCTACAGATATGTCTTAGGAGCTTTCAAGTTCAAGTAAACAGTCAAGAATATGAAACAAAGGTAGCTAATGATGAAAATGGCTTATTTTGGGTGTAACAGCTTAAAAACTTGGAAGAAGGAAAACCCAGACACCCTCTTCATGCAACTCTTGCTAGAACACTTTCCAATCTCACTTTAAGCTCTCACATTGCCCACATTTTGTGAGTGCCCCAGTGAATTTTCAGGAGTGAATAGTCTGTATTTACTGCACAGCTACCAAAGTGTGCTTTAGTACAGTTTTTTGGTTCAAATGCCCATTTATAAACATCACTGACCATCTTTCATTATGAAATGCTTATTAATATTGCCTTTGAAGTTATTGGCAAATCTGTTTTTTCATGATAATCAGTCACTTCCAATGTACAAGCTATACCATCTAACATATAATTCACTTTAGTGGAGGCAATTATGTTGATTGCAAAATCCATCAGAATACACTGGCTCTGAAAATAAGAGTGTATGTGGCAGTCCATATTTAGCAAATAGAGGTTATTAATCAGACCCTGTTCCTTGCATATCGTTCAACCATATGTTTAGCATTTTTCAGCACCCTTGTCAAGGGGTGGCAAGAGCAGGCAGGTCTGCAAGGGAAGGTGAGCAAAGAATGAAGGCTGCCAGCACTGCAGACAGGAGCAGTGTCCTCACCAACAAAGTCTGAAGTGTCCAGGAAGGTCCAAAGTTAAGCCATGAAGCCAGGGCAGCATTGATAAATTACAGGGCTGGTTTGACAGGTATCTACAATGTAACTCTAGCTGGGACCAGGGAAAATAGCTGTGCTTAAGCACAGCTCCTGGGCACAGGAGACCTCGGTGGAGACCCCTGGATGGGCTGCTCAAGGCAGTTAGAGATCCTTGATGTACTGAGGGCTCATTACTCTTCTTTGAGAGGGAAACCGACTGACATTGTCCCCAGATGCGCAAGTTCGGGCTACTGAACACACGCAGTTATTTCACATATGTTTTGGTGTGGAAATGGAATAGTACTTGCAAAGGTGGAAGTATCTGTATTTCAGATCTTATTGCTTTAAAAGTTGCAAGAATAAAACTTCATTTCTTTGTGCCTTCAAATGTTCTGTGGAAAATGAGGATGATTTTCACATTCTTGCTTTACCACATGCTGATGAATTTTGTTACAAGCAAGCCAAAGAATATGATAACAAGAGTGTGAACTGGTGAACTCCAATTCCTGAGCTGCTGCCAGCAGCTCTTAAATAGATCTTCAATCATGAGCTTCTATAATAAGGATGTAATAGTTAGCACATAGCATTGGCAGTAGATTGAGTCAAAGAGTAGGAATGACCTTCAGGGCTATTTTCTTCTACACTAGTTGGTATGTTGTGTTTCCCAAATAGCTAAATCTTGCATGGGTAGATTCTGCCTTACCCACACTGGCACATGGAAACATTTCTGATGTGAAGAAACCACGACACAGTTATTATAACCTTTAGTCTCCTGAAGGGGAGAGGATCTGGATATTTCAGAGAAAAAGTGGTTTGAGGGACGAATGTGACTTTTTGAGTCTTGGCTAAAATATGCTCATTATGACAAACATTCTTACACAGACTATTTCCTATGGAGTTGGAGCAAAAAGTCATTAAAAGAACCCTGCAGGGAAAATACTGCAGTAGAGTCACACAGTGAAGATAAAAGTTTTCTTAGACACAGTATTAGATTAATGGTTTTGCAGGCTAATTCCTCTCTCCTGCTCCTGGTGATCCAGTGGGGTTTTTTGCCAGTGTTGAGAACTCTGTGATCTGAAGATGCTTTTTTGTTAAAACCTATCCTGACAGGTGGGTTAAAAAAAAAAAAAAAACCAAAAAAAACCAAAAAACCAACCCCCCCCCCCCCCCAACCCCACCAAAACCCTACAGCAACAAGTTTTGTTGGAGGTAGCAGGAGATGCTAATTCCACAGTAAACTCAAGGAAGTGCTAAACTAACAGTGCCTATACAGGGACCATGAGAATGTGATTGACAAGGGTTTAATTAAGTTCAGAGAACAGGGAGTTTATTTTGTTTGTTTTCAGATAGTATCAGACTGGTTGTACTAGACAAAATTTGACCCCTGCAATTCCCAGAACTGTCCACATATTTCTGTTAAATATGTATTCTAATGCTAGTATTTTCAAGGGGTTTAGGGACTTTTTTCACTTGTTCAATGAAATAACCTGTTTTCAAGGAAAAGAGAGGAAAATTCTTCACTGTGAAAGGATCTAAATGACAAAGACTATCCCTCTCCTCAGTGTTCTCTGAACACTGTACTGATTGTGGATGCAACCTAGGTGCAACGGGTTCAGAATTCATCCCATCATCTTTTGGTGACATTTCAGCATGCATGCCAATGCATTAGCATAAGTGTATACTAATATTACAATACATGGACACTGAGGCTATAGAAACTGCTTGTCTGCTATACTTGATGTGTGAATGGATTTGTATCTGTATTTGTAGATTTTTTAGACACAGAAATTCCTTTGGAACCAGAGGGGATATGAGAAAGCCGGGAATAGAGAAAGACATCATGGCTTCTTATGGGAGTGAAAAGTGAAGAAGTATAAGAGAAAATAGACCAGCTAACACGCACAAAATGAGAGAGAAAAAAAGACATAAAAAAAAATATTTCATTTTACAAGGACACCTGTAACTGCAGCTGGAGTTATTAGAAATGCTTGTCATCAGTTCCACTGAAATAACATCCATGGGAGGGGGGTTGCATGTATTTGCAGGTGACTTGTTTCCATGGAGTTGTAAAATATAATTGCTTTGTCTGCTTTAAAAATCAAAGCTATATATATGTAAGATGAGCACCTCCTTCTTCCTAGTGACTGAAAGAGTTAGGTTCCTATGTGAAGTTACTTCTCTTCGCTCCTGTACTGACAAGCTGGCAGTCAGGAAACAGGAACATTCCTAACCACAACCAGTAAATACGGGCTCTTTTTGCTGACAGTAGACATCATGGATAAGTTAAAAGTTTGCTTACCTGCACTGATCAAAAGATTCCTCCATCTGACACATTGGAAGGTGCTCTGAAGTAGTGAAGTGGGTAAATATTACACCATAAGGAACTGCACTGAACTCATTGTCTTACTGGTGGGGGAAGCTGTATGAATAGAGTTGATGTGAAGTATTTTTTGCTAAAGAAAGTCTGTTGGAAATGTACCTCATTCAAGGGTGACGTTGTGCATAAAGAGTTCAGGATCAAGCAACATAATGTAAACCACTGTGCTGTCTATGTAGTCTCAAATTCCATTTTCATTCCTGAATCCTTTCAGTATTTAGCTGTCAGTATTCCATTTTATTAGTTAAAATTTTGTTCTCTCTAGGTGAGGTGAAGGCAGAACAGCTCTCCTGAAGGATTTTGGATCCAGAAAATAAATGAAATAATATTTTTTTCTCATTATATCTCATGCATGATACACTTTTTCACTTCTTATTCTCACATTATTTTCTGTTTTAAATATTGGTTGTCACAGACTAATATATATGAGAATTGAGTTTTATCTGGAATGAATTTTTAGCTAAAATAGTAGATTGAAATTTCGTGATTTCCAAATATAAAGTAAAAATAAGTAAAATCAGGTATAAACAGTCTTAAAACATGTTTGACTAATATAGCAGCAGCTCTTTATCAAACTTATTGTGAGTTATAAACACAGAGTTTAAAAAATGTTTTTACCATTTTTTAATGTGCCAGTTCCATAGCCATTAAACAACCTCATCCCAAGTATCTCATACAGTTTGTATATGATGTCTGTTGCATAAAGCAGATTCATTATTTATTCATTATTTAATGAATCTCTGACCTATCAGTTTAGTTACAAAACTTTTTAGAATAGAGGGGGAAATCAAAACAAAAATTGTTAGCAGTAAAATAGAGATGAAGCCTCTAGGTTTCTGATCTGCTGTGTTTATGAGATAGTAGCAAATTCTGTGTTCTTTCATTCCATTCCAGCTGTTTACCTCTGCAAGCGGACAATGCAAAACAAAGCAAGGCTGGAGCTAGCAGACTATGAAGCTGTAAGTACCTGATGAAAAGTGAATTTCTTTGCTGAGACTAATAAATGTGTGAAATACTGTTAAGAACTATAGGCATTATGTGTGAAATTTATTTGGGGTTTTGACACTTTTGCTAGCCTGTGGGTATAGATGCTGTTTGAGAGACTCTGGTGAGGGCTAACTGGGCAAAAGTTGAGATTTTGGTTCATCTTTAGTGTTACTCTGCTCAGATCACCATGACAAAATCAGAAATAACTGTTCATGAACCCAGATATGCCACAGGTGTTTGAAAGTAGTTGTACTCTCACTGTGTAAGGTCTGAATGAAGGATCCCTGGCAGCATTTTCAAAAGCACTTAGTGGTTGTAGAAGTATGAGTCTCATTCTTTAAAGTAATGCTGGGGCTTAAACCCTTGTCCCATCAGTTAAACGAGAGGCAGAGAGGGTGAGATTAGAGGCACTTCCCGTTCCCTGAACTTTTGCTGTGCCCCAGGCAGGTGAGATAATTTGGGCCAGGAAGAGCCTGAAAGTGTGAGAGTTTGACTAGCTGATGAGGATGGCACTTGCTAAGGAGAGAGATGTCTTGAGTCCCATCTCTATTCCCCCAAAAGTTCCTGAATTTTTCATGAAAATGTCAACATAAAATTCACGAACAGCCCTGGCTCTGTGCTGAATGCTGTCCAGCTGTGCTGCTGTGACATGATAGCACGATAGTCAGCCAGGCCTCTCAACATGCTAAATACTCCAGCCGCAGCACCCTGCTGGCACACTTTGTTGCTTCTTCTGGCACAAGCTTGCTTTTCAGTGTACTGCGCTGTGGGGTATCCACAATTGTATACTTACACGTCTTGGAAAATTCACCACTGGTATGCATTCCATGAGAGCCTTTACTGGTATTGACAAGATCTCTAGAAAAAGTCTCCACTCTCTGTGGTCTTTATTTTCAGTAAGTATGCCACAGAAGTACATTTGCAATGTATACAAGTACAGTTGAAGCAACACTTTTTGTTAGGATATTTACAGATAATTTTTCACTTAGTCTCAGTAAAAACAGTGCACAGATAATTTTTCACTTAGTCTTAGTAAACGCAGTGCACAAAGGTAACTGGGGGCCTTTTTGGGAGAAGATAACCTCAGCCTTCTCCATACTAACAGGCTGCATACTGCTAACATTTAAGCTGTGGGGAGATTGAAGAAGCTTTGTTACAGACAGTGAGGCTGTTCCAGCATCACTGAAGGAAAGAATTTTGCTAAGATTTTACAGATCTTCCTTCTGTTATTAACAGTAGGCTGCAGGATACATTCATTTCTTGCACAGTAATGGAAGACTATAGTCTGCATCTTTTTAAAAATGGGGATAGCCATGGAGGTCATGGAAGGTTCCTGTACTACCAAAATATTGAGAGCTTCTTATGCTTGTATTTGAAGTAAACTGATAGGCAGCCAATGCTGTTCAGTACAACCATTTGTACAGGCGACTGATGGGAATTGTCCTGTGGATTTTGTCCTGGGTTTTCTAGTGCTGTTATTAGGTACTTTCAAAACAAGAATGTTTCTTTGTATTGTTACAGAGTTACTCAACCAGCACCCCCTAAATAAAAATGCTTCAGAAATCCCATGTTATGCTGATGGTTGCATCCAACCCTGTCACCAGTTTTAAAACTAAAATAGTCAGGGCATGCAAAAGTAGATAGATCTAGCATTCCATCCAATTTGGTGTCAAGCAAGGACTTTGCATTGGATAAGTAAGGTCCGTTTGCACTTGTGGAGATATCACGACTTAAATTACACCTTAGAGAGAATGAGGGGAAGAAGGAAGGATAAGCTAAAAGCTCTAAAATAGTAAATAACTTTCAACCTAACCAACTAAAGTTGTGATGTATTTTCAGGAGAGTTTGGCCAGGCTACAGCGAGCATTTGCTCGGAAATGGGAGTTTATTTTTATGCAAGCTGAAGCACAAGCAAAGTAAGTTCTTTGAAAATAAGGAATTTTGGGTTTGCATGCCTTTTGAGGGGGAAAGAGAGGGAAAAGCAATTGGACACTTCTTACTTTCAAAATTACTGTCATTAACACTGTTTCTTTTAAATATTCCTGTAACATTGACAGAGTTGACAAGAAGAGAGACAAGATAGAGAGGAAGATCCTTGACAGCCAGGAGCGAGCATTCTGGGATGTGCACCGTCCGGTGGTGAGTGAGGGTGTCACTGATAAATGTCAGCCTCTGTGGAGCACTGGGGTAGTCTGGGAACAAGTTCTTAGTGTAGGGCTGAGGGTTGGGGCTTGCCTCCCTTTTTGCAGCATCTGGTGTTTTTACCATTCTGCTACTGAAGACTGCAACAGTGTGTACTCTCCATTTGGAGTTTGCAGTGAATAGTGTATTGTGTCTGATTTCTTGAATCAGAAGATATCTGTCTTTGACTATTACCATCTCAGAGGTTTCCCAAGGTGTGAGTCACACAACCAAAATTATCAGCATAGCTAAAAATACTTTTAAAAACATCTGCCTTTTTTTAATCTGTTTTTTTGCTTGCCAAGCCTTTCAACTTCACTCTGATCATATTTCCAATTGAGTTTTGATGTACATAAAGGTTAGATAACGTTGGATTTGAGCCATGGGAGTCATGCACTGTCTAAACAAGATTTGGCTGAATTCCTTGTCAAAGTCCCTCTGAAACAAAATATTAAAAAAAGAAAGGGTCTTACATATTCAACTGCCTTTGGGAGCTAAAACTCTGAGAAAGAATGTCAAATGTCACAAGACTTCCATAAGAACTCGGTAATCACACTTTTCTGCTTTACTACAGAATTACGTCTGTTTCTCTTACCTAGAATTAGGTTTTCATTTTCTGTGCACAGAGTTTAGTATTGTTAACAGTGAAACCATATATGGATTATATTTTCCACGGTGACATTGGGAAAAGACACTTAACTAAAACTAAACTGTTCTGGGAAAGTAAAATTAGGTGATGATACCTGTAGAAGAGATGCATACAGTGAAAAAGTTTCAAACAAAAAATAATGAGCTTGGACGTGAACAGCTTGTATTTGTGACCGTGGAATTTAAAGAGCAGTAGAAGAAACGGATTTTTAGGCAGGATTTAGAATGTCAGGTAGATAAAGTCATTTGAAGTGAAAGATTAAAACCTCAGGCATTAGATGCAAGAAGGCTGGAACATTGTTATCTAGTCAGTGGCATAAAATAAGGAAGGAGGACAGAAAACAATTTGCCATCTGACGTTGATGGAAGCTACATATAGAATAAAACCATAAAGTTTCTATGGACCTGGGAACTTTAAAGGTGCAGACAGCTTTTATATTCCCTGCAGAAATGAACCTGAAGGTTTTGAATCTGAGAATGAGATGCTATATTTGGAACAGAAGATGAATTGCTGAAGTTTCAAATTAAGATATTGGCAGACAATAATGAGAGAATTAAAGGGGAACAGGACAAAAGGAAATCAAATCTGATTAAGAGCTTTCATTGAACTGTGGATATATCTGCCTGAGCACGTGTTTTAATCTGGCTATAGGCATAGGTAGGAAATATCAGAGGCAAAAGACTGGCTTAGAGTCAGAAATGTAGGCTCTTGACATTAGGAGATACAAAAAGAAGAATGGAGAGGTTCATACTTTGCCTAAGCAGCTCCTCTCACTAGTTAGTGAAATACTTGTTTTGACAACATTGTTAAGAATTTACTGTCACAGTAAAAGCTAGAAGCTTCTATTAGAAAGGGAAAAAAAGAAAAAAGAGGAACAAACTGAAAAGAAGAAGGTGATGCTAGAGGTAATTACAATTTCTAATGGTTTTTCAAGCCCCCCAAAACTCACAGAAATGTTGCTTTTGAGAGGAAGTTAAGAGAACAGTTTTGATAACTCACTGATCTGTTTCCATTCCAATATTTTTAATTGCAGTTTCACTATATATTTAGTTCTTTTTCCTTTGGTATCTCTTTAGTGTAATGTGAAGTGTAATCTTAGTCAGTTCTGTAGTTTCCAGTTTCTGCTTTATGTAGAAAGATCTTGGCTTGCAGCTAGAAAGAGCATGACTCAGCTTCAACTGTAGGTACTGCAGCCTGCAGAGACATTCCTGAACAACTTTTAATCTTACTAGTTCAGACTAGTCACAGTAAAACCATGGAAATGTGTGTCAGGGAGTGCTGTATAAATTCCTGAGATCCTGAGCAGCAGACCTGTGATGAAGTCCATGCCATTATTTCTAAGGTATGGCCAGTACCTAATATAACTCTGAGATTATCCACATACATTCACATACATTTATTCATTTCCCTTTTTGATGGCAGAGTAAACATGCCTTATAAGACTTCCTTTTCCTTCCACCTGCCTAGGAAGTGTATAACTTTCACAGTTTGAAACTTTGTATCAATAACTGAGTAGGGAAATGGATGAAAATTGGTTGGGAGGATAAGGGCATTAGTCAAAAAGCAGTAACAAATTGGGCTAATTTGGGGAAGTCAGTTCCTTCTAGGCAAAAGAAATTAAGAAGCTGCTCTTGTTTGAAAAGAAATATCATGTTCCTGATTAAAGTCTTCATAAAAGAACTCACAGCTTTCCTGAATTATTATGTCTGTTTAAAACCCCTTAAAATCTTACGCTTGTTAAAAAGAGACAAACAGGTACTAAAACAGTAAATCCCCTGAAACATTCAGAAATCCACATTAGATACAGCAGGAGCAGAGTAGCTATGGCTTGCTGTAAAATTAACTCTTAGATAATTAGCAAGGACAGCTGATGTCTTGCAGTTGCAAACAATTCACTTTTCTTCCTGGGTTACACATTAATGTAATTTGAATGAAATGCATAATAAAGGCCTGTTTGGTACTTGTTGAGATTCAGACTAATTCAGAAGATAATGAGGGAAATATCCTTTTCTCCTGGAAGGCAGCTGTATACTTCCTAACTATAAGAAGTTGAAAAAACCTTCTTTTTTCTCCAGGGCCCCTGACCTTTGTCATCAGTCAGAATGTATTGCAGTTATATTTAGCAGGCTTGTGTGCAGTTGTTTTTAAAAGGAAGATAGGAAATTTCTAAGCTTTCTAAGCTGTGCTAGGAAGCTACACTGGTGTGTCCCTCTCCAAAGCTGGAGTTGGCTATGGTTTAGTTATATTGAGATTTAATACAGTATGCACCAGGAGAGGTTTAGATTGGATATTGGGACACATTTCTTCACTGAGAGAGTGCTCAGGCATTGTAACAGGCTTCCCAGGGAAGCAGTGGAATCACTGTGTTCAAAAACCATGTAGATGAGGCCCTCTGTGACACGATTTAGTGGTGGTCTTGGCAGTCCTGAGGTAGTGGTTGGACTTGCTGATCTGAAAGGTCTTTTCCAGCATAGCTGATTCTATATAGAATTACAAAATCAGCTATGATTCTGTAAGTACGAGTAATGTGCAATCGAGTTCTTTCATTCTGCCATTTGTAGCTTTTTTAAACCTGATCCGCGGGACTGAAAAGCAAAACCAATATTTGTGTGATTTAATACAGTAAGACAAAATATCCAGGATGTGTATGTTTGGTTAGGACAGCAAAAACGTTAAGGGCAAGTGTGGTTTTCAGATAATTCACTGATGATGTAAAATTCAGAAATATGTGTGATTTCTGCATTTGGGAGTTTCATGCCATTGTTTCCTAGTAGCAAACTATGAAAACAGTAACTTTTACATTTTAAAGCTTGTCACACATCCCACACCTTTTGCTTCTCTCTCCATTTAGTGTTTGGGTTTTTTTCAATCTCAGTTGATTCTATCTCAATTCTATCTCACTTTCTCTGTTTGTATTTTTAAGTTGTATTTTATGTGGTCTGAATAGGACCATCAGCATCTGAGCCAGGACGTAATATTACCAGGTGTCAGGGTCATGCAGCAGATACCTGTGGTTATTTGTTCTTGGTTTTCCTTGAATAGCTTTTGCATCCTGACCTTTGAGATCAGCCTCAAAGACTCGGCAAGAGACTGAATTTAACTTGGCTAAGGTGGTGCAATCCTCCATCTCACTCTGTGTCTGCTACAAATCCTGGACTTTTCTGGGCCAGTCACTTCTTTAGCCAGAGATCACTTCTGTCTGCTTTATCATACTGTCTTCAGAAACACCTCTTGGGAGTGAATGTGAACCATGCCATCCAGCTTCTCTAGTGATTTATCCACATACAATTTTCATGCCTTCTTTTGCATCTGTATATCTCACAATACCTATGCAGCAGGCAGGGAGTGCAGCCTGGCAGCAATTGTCATCCTCAGATAACTGCACTTTTGTTAATGAACAAAACCTTGTCCGGAGTTTTATTTTCAGAAAATGGTTATAATATTTATGATCCCTAATCCAATCTGTTTCAGGCAGATATTTATAAACCTTGTAGCTAGCCTGCCAGATAAGACTTTTATGGAAGAATTTGTACTCACATTACTTAGCATTGTTACTTAGTCTGACACTTGAGTAAGGGTGGGACAGATGGGAAAAAAGGAATCCAGCTTTCTTGCAGCAGTGCGACAAACTGAGAGTTCTCAAGTTAAAACTGAGGATTTTGAGGAGGTCAGAAATTGTGAAATAGCTGACTGATGAGATGGTGGAAAGACACAAAAAAATGAGATAACTATAATTTCTAGAGTGACCGAGTTCTGGTAGCAACTGGGAAAATTAGCTGAAGTAGTAAGGATAAAGAATTTTTTGAATAAGCACAACGTTTTTACATTGATTTTTCTTTCTGTGTGAATTAAATTTGCTGCTTTAATCCAAAGCAGTCTGTCAAGGATCTTCTGTAAGTCAAAAGGCAGATAATCAAATTTCTAAATGTCACCAATATTTGCCATCTACATTTCCAGAGAAGTGTGGTCAGATTTTCCTGTTTTCATTTCTTTCAAGCCTATCACCTAAATTTGTCTGTATGGAATCCATAAAACAGCAGCTGCTTGCATTTTGGGGTGAAAAAAAGGAGAAAGCAATAATAAGTCTGAGTATTTAGCATAGGGGCAACAAAGCAGATGAATTTAACAGGTTTCCTTATGCAAAAATGTTGCGAATACTAGAATCTTCACATACCCCAAAATGTTAATACAGCCTGAATTAAAATTAGTACTACTGAAGCATCACTTGAATAAAAACAGTGGATCTAATTTCTGTACAATAATTTCTGGTTCTGGAAACCAGTAACTACAAAGCTAAAATAGTCTATTG